TATATATATATATATATATATATATATACAGTTTACTGTTTAAAACTCCAATAAATAAATTATTAAAAATATATAATTTTATATAAATATATATAATATAAATTATATAAAATATTTAATAATTAAATTAATAAATAAACATTTTTAGATAGATAGACAGATAGATAGATAGATAATTAAACAAATTATGTAGAATTAAATATATTAAATAAATTAGGGAGCAACCACCAATTCTGAGCATTCATTTTTATCCCACTGTTCTTGAGCAAAAAATCTGCATTATGTGCCATATGTACCAGGATACGTCTCATAGTAACTGGAGAAGGTCACTTGGTTTGACTTATGGTCACATTATCCATAAAAGAGCCAGGTACATTAATTACTTTTTCTCTGTACAGCTAAATATAACCTGCTTATGAGCAATTCACAAACAGCCATGACCAGTTTCAGAGAGGTGCAAAAATCACGGCCTCACGGCAAGAACAAACAATAATACTGGATTGATCTGACCTGCCTCTCTCAGTGGAAGATCACAGAATAAACTGCAATCAAATATCAGATCTCCTTGTTTTCCCACAAAGAAACTGTTCTCACAAGGCATCACAGGGTTTTGGTGGCAGCCTGCCAGTACCAAGTCTGACAAGAGGTGTGCAGCCAGTGGCAGCAATGAACATGTTACATTGCAAAAGATTAAATCACTCAGACACAAAGTCCATCTCCAAAGGTGATCAGGTTGATATTTGTTTATTTGATGGAGATTCGACATATAAGACTCGACCGTTCCTCTAGTTTCTGGAAGTGCCTCGACTATTCAGCATATTGCAAACAGAGTTTCTGCAAAACATGATTACCACCTTTATACCAAGATGGGTTCAATTTCAAGGTCCAGGTGCTAATTTTCCTGGCTGAACACTATGCTCAGTCTACAAATACCCCAAAATCACCGATCCCATTTCATTGTGGTCTGTAAGGTAAATGTCGCCAGGTGAGATTTTTAATTAGCACCTCTGTTCGATTATATGTAAGGTGGCAGCCCTACTCAAGTTTATTCACGTATAACAAATGGATCACAATGGGATGGATAAACAGGACATTTCTAGAAACAATGGTCAACAAATCTCTAGGTCTAGAAAACCCTAGAAATCACAAAGCAGTGATTCCATATAGAAGAACCATATAGGGTTCCTCAAAGAAACAGATGAAGTATACGGGCAGCTTATCTCTGCTTAAGTATCTAAAAGTCATAGTTCAAACTCAAAGAGAAACTAGCTTAGCTTTGATCATGTGAAGCTGCTGAGATGGAGTTTTCAGAGGTGTGGAGACTTGCTGATGAATACGCAAAAATTGAAATACAGCATAACATATTAGACCAGTGGCATGGCGTACATTAAAACAGGGGGAAATTACTATTCATCCAGGCCACTTTGGGCAGATAATCATTATATTTTAAAGAGGTGGTATTTTGGTCGACCACAATGCAAAGGAAAAAACTAGCTGGCTGTATAGTTGGTGCATTGAGAAAGTAAACATTCTGAGGAAGGAAGATATTAACAAGATAAGAGAAGAAAATTCATAGCAAATATATATATATATAAATAATTTAAAGATATTGTATTATTTTAAGAATATATTTATAGTATATTAAGAATAAAAAAGTGTATAAAAATTATATAAAAAATTATAAAAAGTCGAATTATTACATGTTTGGACAAAACAAATTGCAAGAGTAATTGGAAAGCTTTTTCTGGAAAGCTGAGTTTTTTAAACTTTCAAGACTGTGCAAAGACATGTCTGGCGAAGTCAGTGTTACTCAGCAAGCTTTTTCGCTAAGTTTAGCATGACACTGTGAGATTAGATGGTGTGCTCCAACCCAGCAATACACCCTGTCATTTCTCAAATTTCAGCTTTAGAGTTTTTGTATAAATGGTTTGCTCTTTTATAGTTATGCTTATCCTAGATTTTTAAGAACATTTGGAAATAAAAGTACAAAAATGGAACTTTATGCATCACAAGGTTAAAAATTGCCACTGTCTTAGCATGCACCTGCCATGAGCTGCTAACTGCAAAGATCTGTGCAAAAACCAAGATCTCAGTGTCCAGTGTGTGATAATCAAACAGAGAGCAGGTGGCCTTGGCCATTACAACAAAACCAGAGTGTGTTTGCCGTACACGGTGTCACAAGGAGTCAAACCCTTTTTGAACAGTGAGCAGTTGTTGGTTGCAGTAAATGTTTGCACGGTTGACCAAACAGCACATTTAGTATCTGCAATAAATGATGCTAAATGTTGGATCAAGCCAATTCTGTGCAATAAATAGTTGCATAAACCTAATTTCACCATGAAACGTGCCATTATTTTTTATAGTTTTATACTTTAACAACCGATATTCTTCCACAACACAATAAATAAAAGTGTAAGGTATGATTTATTATTCATGATTAAATCATAAATAATAAAATAAATACATGAAAAATAAAGTAAATAAATTATATTAATTATAAATTATATATAAAATGTATATATTGTTTAAAAATAGAATTGTAACATCTAATTGGAGCTAAAATATTGATGAGTTAAATAAATGATAATAATTATAAAATTATTTATACAATAATTTGCATTCAAAAAGTTTATTTAGATGTTTAAATAGCCATCATAGATAGACAGACATATAGATAGATAGATAGATAGATCAGAATCAAGCATTCCAGAGTGCAATGAAATAACATATAACTTCCTGTTCAAACTTGAGCAAGTGCAATATTTATAAGTCCCATCTCTGTCTCATTGCAGGTTGGACTTCATGCCAAGACTCCATCAGCTAAGAGAGGAAAATACCATCTCTCCGGACGTTACTGAGCACCCAAACACTGACCATGGCGTCTCCATCGACCGCACCATTCTATGGAGGGCCATCCTCTCCAAATCGCCACCTCAAGACCCAATAAGAAACCCATCCCACATCGGTCAGCCAATGGCAGGAGAGTCCACCAAAATGGGAGAGAGTGCTAGACACAGAGGTCGTCGCAATGTGCACTCAAAAGGCCACCATAACCATCATCACGCTCAGCTGATGCGTGTCGGATGCGTCCTCGGTACCTGCCAGGTACAAAACCTCAGTCATCGCCTTTACCAACTGGTCGGGCAAAGTGGACGCAAAGACTCGCCCATTAACCCACGCAGTCCACACAGTTACGGATGAGTTTAGGGGGATGTCCGGCTGAAACTAAGACCAAGAAAACAGCGTTACACACATCTGTCCTGGTGTTTGTCTATTTTATTGCAATAGGATACTGCTGTAGTACTCTTTCCTCCTCTCTGCCTTGGTTTTCTGGAGTGTATACTGTGCCTTTTTGGACAGAAAGGACCTCTTGTTACTTGATGGCGAATTTTGAATTCGGTGCCTCTGAAATACTTTGACTCTGGCCTCTCATTTTTTGGTACTCAAACAGATTCTTTATTTTAATATTGTCATTTCATTAAGACTTCAGATAAGAGATTATTCCGGGTTACGCCGCATTATGTCCCGACTCATCTAAGACTGTTAACTTCTACATCACTGATCAGACTGGCTGAGCCTTTAATGTGGATTTCAACACGGTGTGGGATTGGATTTCTGTCAATGTGAGGCTTGTGTGTTCCAAAAAACTCTGAACCCTCTCACCTTGTGTCTCCAAAAGACTTTTAAGAAGAAAGCAGACTTTCTACAATTGCTTCGTAAGTGGTGCAAGACCACCATCTGATACCTTCTCACTTGAATAGCTACTGCAACGTTGGGTTTAAATGTTGGGTTTTACACAATGGAGAATTGTTTGAATTTACAAACACAGTGGTCCCTTGGTTGAACCCGCATAACAATACAGTAGCAATCGCCATCGAATCCAGATTAACACATTATTGCTTCTCAGTGCACTTTGAGGTCTGGCATCTGAAATATTACACTTCACGTGGTTCATAAAGTCACAAGAATGAGTTATAATCCCCAAGGTCTCAGTTTCTACTCTTGACAGAATCCTGCTGGGCTTTGCCACATTTTATAAACAGAAGCAAGACTTTTCGGAGCATTTTTAAATTATGGTTATAACTCACCCATAAATACCCATTACCAAGGTTACAGAGGCTAAAACTAGCTTAAGGGCTGTTTAAAAAACATTTTCTCCCATTTTTATTGCGAAACACTCTTAAAGGAACATCTCATCATTCCCCAAAAAATAATTTTGTCATGATTTACTCATAAAGTTGCAAACCTGTATGACTTTTTCATTCTGCGTAACATAAAATGTTCATACATTGCACGTCAAAGGGATCTGAAGTTGGTTTTGGACCCCATTGACTTGCATTGTATGGACAAAAACTGAATTCTTAGTAAACGGCACAACTGTTAATATCATAAATGCCCTCAAAAATGTTCTTAACACACACTGACTGGCATAATTTAAGTAATTCTCAAGCTCATTCTTGTAATTCTAATTAAAGATTCTGGTTCTACCAAAATTTGAGGAGCAAGCGTTCCAAAGTCTTTCGGGAAAATGGCCTTCCAAAAGGACTCTTCCAGCCGTGTCATGTATTTTAAGAATTCCCTTTTGTTATAATAATCATGTCTGAATACGTGGGTGGATACACAGACCAAAAATACCCGACAGACGTAGGAAAAGTAGCTGTAAAAACCAACCGATTTAAAACTTTACATGCCTTTTGAGGGGCTGTGGATGTCGGGGGAATGCTGTGAGACATCAAAGTACACGCCTGAGGATTAAAATAGCAGAAGTAATCCTAAAAATCCTACTTAAACATCAAAAACTCAATTTCAGCTAGGTATCCAGACAAAACTCTCCCACTTTGTGATGTATGTTATAGGACAACTTGCTTTCAAATGGCTCCAGAAAGGCAGAGAACTGACCAAAAAAGCCTGAATTTACTTGATACCTTTCTGTGCATTTACATTATACTGTTCATTTATCTTTAAACGGGCTTGAATTTCAATTGGATTTGATTGTGTTCGTCACTGTAAAAGTCTTTTTCATTGTCATGGCTGATTCTAATGATGATGATCATAGGAAGTAGTAATCGCTGGTGCTTTGGATCTAATTTGCTCAAAGGCTCTCTATATATCCGACACCATTCTCTCTGCTGTAATCGATCTGATTGATGTCTCTTGACTAATCATAATTAAAAGGCTTTTAAACTGCTGAGAGCCTGGTTAATCTGTATTTTTTGCACAGGGAGAGCCTCTTAACCTGCCTCATGTTGACTTATATTGATCACATTCCTTTTTTTGACTATTTATTTGACTATTTATGAGTTGTTGTGAACGTCTTGGTGACATGGGTTGGAACGTAGCAAGTGCGTCAGTATCTGGCCCTGATCGTTCTTTGTACGCGTGTGTTTTTGTGTGCTGCCCCTGTGTATTGCCTATTTACATGACCTTTGTCCCCCTTTAAAGACCTACTTGGTTCATTAAGAAAAACACAAGCGTTAGCTTTCACGCTAATGTGAACGTGTTTGTGATGAAGGAATACACAGAACGTTATGAATCTGTGTCCTGGAGACTTTTAAAGACTTGTGTGTGTGTGTGTGTGTGAACGTCATCCTGGCCATGAGCGTAACATTACATGTTTTAGCTGATACTAAAGGTCAGTTGTGTTGTTACTACCTTTGAAGCAGGAGCATGTTTTTATTTTTGTCACTTGAACTTCAGATTGATCAGTTTTGTGTATTGATTTTGAGCAGGATCTGTATGAATGTATTTTAAAGGGCATTAGCACACTGCATGAGGACTGACTCCGTATCATGTACACATCTTTTGTGAATACTTTTATTAGGTGTGATATTTAAGTTAATGTATTTATGTTTGCATTTGTGTATCTATGTCACCAAAGACATTATTTATCACATACAGTGTTTTCTCACACCTCAGAGTTGTCCTCTGTGTATGAAAAAAAAGAGTATATTTAGGGAAGACGGTCAAATTAGTTTGTAACGCCCATACATTGTTCTTTTTTCTCTGTGAAATAAAGCACTACGTAGTAGTGAGATGAAATCTGATGTGTTGTTCTCTTTTAAATGTGAACAGCGGTTGTTTGTTACTTTGAAAGGACACACAGACCTCACAGAACACAAATTAAAAGTGCACTAAGTACAGTAAAAGTTTTAAGACTAAAAAATACACTTAAGTTTGGGGTTGGTAAGATTTACAATTTTTATGAAAGGCTGCATTTGGGCTGCATTTATTTGATCAAAAACACAGTAAAAACAGTAATGTTTTGAAATATTATTACAATTTAAAATAAGTGTTTTCCATTTGAATATACTTTAAGATGTAATTTATTCCTGTGATGACAAAGCTTATTTTTCAGCAGCCATTGCTCCAGTCTACAGTGTCACATGATCCTCTAATAAGCTGAGATTTGGTGCTCAAAAAACATTTCTTATTATCAGTGTTGAAAACAGTTGTGCTGCTAGAGAGCAAGATACATTATCTTTAAAGTATTAATTTATTTAAAAAAAAACTGACCATAAACTTTTAAATGGTAATGTAATAGTACTTTGACAAACATGATTAAAAATGATGTACAGTCACATAGGGTTGAAGATTCCAGTCATAACAGTCTAGAAAAATATTTTTTTATCTTGGTTATTGGACCTAATATCAAAACATTTTTAGCTGATTTAATAAATTAATCATAAATTAGAAATAAACCTTTAAATAGGACATCTGGCAACTCAAAACATTTATGTGGGTATGAAGTCCAAGACCACTGTTGTGTCATTCAGCAAAATATGAGACAAATACTTAGTGCACATTTAAGTAAAGAACCATAAAAATGATTACAAATATTAAATAATTATTTTATAATGAATTCATGAATGTATATATACATACATATATATTCATCCTAATTTTGTATTTTTTTATTCTACAGAAATGATAGCCGAGATATCAAATAACTTTCACTTTTCGCAGATTTGCTTAAAATACAACTTGGGTCCTCAAGTCACCTTGTACTGCAGTTATGTAACTCCTGAACACTGAATAACTAGCAAATAAGTCTGTGTCTGTCTGCAATATCTGTCCAGGTTTATCCACTATCTTTATGAATCTAAAGAGCACTGAAACCACTTGAACATATTCCTTTAACACACTACAACACCTAGATTCACAAACTTTATTACACAGTGTCTGCCAATGCACAAATCTGTGTTAATGAACCAATGAAGCCCCTTGGCATCAGATACAAGAAATTAAACATTCGAGTGACGTTAGAAAGCCGATAAAATGCAATAAAAAGTGGACCCTTTCTACTCATACTGGCATTGTGCTTGCTAATCACCAACTCCGCAACAAAGATTTCCACTCCAACAGGAAAAGGTGGCTTCTAATATAGAGCCATTAATAAATGACCAGGCAACTATCACATGGGCTACGCAACTAACAGCTGTGCAGACAGAAAAAGCAGGTCACTGGGAGATGGGTAAACCAATCAGCTGACTGTGTGATGGGGTGACTACAGCCTTCATGAAAATACAGTATTACTTACAATGACGAAATGAATCTGAAGGACATATAATTACAGATAATATGAGGAATAAACATTTCCAAAATCTGTAATTTCACAATTTATGGGTCTGAACCAAACAAGGCGATCTTAATAACATTTCATTATTTTATTTAGAGCAGAACACTTTTTTTTAAAAGTCTATGTCATTGCATGACCATGTCCTTCAAATGCAATAGAGCCAACGTACAAGTCTGCAAACTGCATATGGTCAAATTCTTATGTCATCTGACACCATATCTCTCATATCTGTGGACCCAGAACATGAAGAGTGGGAATGTCAATGGTAATTTCAAACTGGGATTGCATCATTCTTAACATGGACTTACTGTATACATTCAGACAATTATTAAATTATAATTAATTATGATTCAACTGTGTTTCAACGGTTTCAGATAAAGTTGACCTCCTTTAAACTTTCAATGATTCCCAATAGATCCAGACAGATGCTACAGAGTGTGTTCAAAACTGTAATGTACATCCCCAGTATAATACCTATTATGTATAATAAGTATTATATTGTCTATAAAACATATTTTGTTTTATTCTATTAAAGTAAGGCAAAGTGTAGGAAAGTCTTCAGCTATTTTTATTTTGCTATAAATTTTATTATTATTTATATGTTAAATCAGGTGTTATTTTATTATTATTCATATACTACTATATTTTTTTATTAATATTTTAAATTAGTTTTTATTTTTATGTTTTCTTTTTCATTTTAGTTTTTTATGTTATGTGCTTTTGCCATTTTATTAATTTTTGTTTTTAAAAAATGTCTCAATAGTTTTAAGTTCTATTTTTATTTAGTTTTAGTTTTATCAGATTTTATTTTCCTCTAATATTAATATTTAATTTGATTATATTTCAGATTTACTTCAATTAAAAGCAGATACACTGGTTAAAAATATGCTGAGGAAATTTACCAAATCTGGCCTGGTTAAAAAATGAACTAATATTGTTTGAATGTATTTTTATAATGTGTACTTAAGTAAATCAGGGTGGTCAAGAGAAAAAGAGTCAAATATAGACGCGCCTCATTTAACTAAAGTAATCAGAACATAAACGCAGTATGCTGTATTTTGCAACATGCAGTTTTTAGTAATTTCTAAGTATAAAATGGGTAATTATAGCCATTTAACGTTATATTAAAAAACCATCATTGTTAACAATATGTCAACCTCAACCAGAATGAATTTCCATGCTGCTCCAAGCTGGTTTATTATCACCAGCACACCAGCATCCACAGCTTAACAGATGCTGCTCTTCTCAGCAAGGATCTCTATCACAAGCTTCACTGTGAATAGAAACGCATGTATCCCTGAACATGGGAGGGTAAATGGCAAACATCTTCAGGCACAGTGTGTGGGAGAGCACTGAATGGAATTACGAGTTTGCATAAATTCATTGCAAAACTATAAGCTTGCCCAAACAAGCAGTCATACACACTGCTGAAATGTTTTAAATGTCAAAATCTTTTCATTTGTTTCTTCTCTGCACTTTAAGCAGTAAAGAGTAAGATTGCTAATAACTTAGATAGATAGATAGATTTCACCAGCAATGTCTTGACGCATTTGCAGAGACAATAGACGCCACACTGATGGCAGCTGCTGCAAAACTGGAGATGTTCAGGCTGTAGTCTTAAAAACTGGAGCAGAATGAACATGCTCAAGCTAAGGGTTTCCCACTAGACTTATAATGGACATTAAGAATTGCAGTTTTCGATTTATGAGTGAAATAATGGCTGCATGTGGTTAACATTGCTTTCACATTCTGTTCTAAAACATAAATTACAGACAGTCAGAGCTCAAGAAGTGACTTCTCAAACTGTTGTGCTCTTTAAAAATGTTTCCATTTAAGGACTACAAATACACCAAGGATGTGAGCTTGCATTTTAAAATACAGAATGCAGCAACTGTTTAGTAATTTAGTCCAAATGTGGAGTGCTGCGCAAGATGGCGTTTATCACAATGAATTAACGGAACATTCTTAGAACTTTGGCTAATGTTCTGGCAAGGTTCTCACAAAGTTATAAACAAACGTTCTGCCAGCATAAGGCGACATCGGATGCTCATAAGGTGGTCTGATTCTTTATGGTCTCCAAGAAATGTCTGTAACATACTTTGGGTAAAATTTGGTTAAAGTGTAAAATACCCTTTTTACCAAAAAAACTGCTCTGTTCATAGCGACTCATTTCGGTGCATGTCTCTTTAAATGATAATGAGCTACTGCTCACCCCACCCCTCTCTTGCATGGGCCATGTCGACTCAAGACACATGAATTGCTGCCTTGGACTCCATATATGGCTTGGAGGTGGTCTTATTCAGATAGCTAGCTATCTATGTAGAAACCGGCTGCAAATTGAAACAGCTCGCTAGATGACACAGTTTCAGACTCAGACAGCTCATTAAAAACTGGCTGCATATTTCTGAGCTGGCAGACATGCCAGAAACCTAACTAAATGGAAAACAAGCATTTTTTCATTTACTTGTGTCAACCGGAACCGGGAACACTTCTCATAACACCCGATGTACTCGCTACATCGTAAGAAGAATGGCATCTACACTAATATTAGTCTCTTCCATTCTAATTCTGAGGTCACCGTAGCTATACAGATCCAGTCTGTATCCAGACCAGATCAGCACCTAGAGACGACCTCTATACAACCCTGAATGTCAGCGGAGACCATGTCAACTAGATGCGCCCCATCCCCTGCGAAGACCTCGTCACCTCGACGACCATCGGCACAAGACCACGAGAACCAGACAAGTCCTCTGCACAATGCCGTGCTGGTTTGGTCTGGTCAGAAGAGAACCGGTCCCTCGACTGAGTCTGGTTTCTCCCAAGGTTTTTTCTCCATTTCAGTCACCATTGGAGTTTTGGTTCCTTGCCACTGTCGCCGTTGGGGACTCTTGACTGATTGCACAGACACTATTGGAAGAGAGCTGAACTGGATGATGACATCACTGAATCATCACTGAACTGACTTTAGCTGGAAAAATGACTTGTTATTATCTTCTTGCATCGACAAGCTATTTTCCTGTTTGACACTGTAAAGCTGCTTTGACACAATCAGTATTGTATAAAGCGCTATTCAAATAAAGGTGACTTGACTTAAAGCTATTTGTTCTTTAATAATGTTCTCAAAATGTTAGCAACAAAACGTTATTTATACATAGTTTATGGAACTTTTTTTCTGAAATGTTTCAGTTAGATGTTCGTATAACATTTTTTTCAAAACGCTGCTAGTTTTTAAACATTTAAATGTTTAAACATTAACATTTCAGAATGTTCTGAGAACATTCAACAGTAACATTCCCATAATGTTTGCAAAACGATAAAATGGAATGTTCCCTCAATGTTTGTATAACCATGAAAAAAACTTTTTTTAAATGAATGTTCAAAGATAGTTTTAGTTTTTAAAATGGAGTGTTTTCATAACTTTTAATGCATACATTGGCAAAACGTTATAAAATCATATTTTTGTTAGTTGGGACTTAACATGACATTTCTGAGATTATAAGATTTTTAACATCTTGACTCTTGATTGTTTGATCTTAGTGTCAAGAAGTTAAATTTTTTATGAGAAAATTTTATTAAAAATGGTACTTAACAATACTTATTATTAACATCACTTATGTTGAGGTTATGAGACAATTATGCTGTATTACACAGTGCTTGGAAGATCCAGTAATTTCTAAAGTAAATGCTTCAGAAACAGATTTACTGACTAACATTTCGAGGGTCTTGAGAAGTGCATGCTAAGACGCACTCTTTTTGAAGGTGATGTCATAGACAGTCTAGCCAAGCAGGAGCTCCGCTATTTGAGCAGAGCATGACTCTAAACACACACACATTCTCTTGTCAGGATTCACAGCAGAGTCGAGTGTTGGAATCATTTTGCATACGTGCAGCTTCACACGAGCAGGAATTCCCAGCCGTCAGCAGCAAATGGAAAAAAAACGACAGAAAGAACCAAACGCCACAGGATAGCCATTAATATCATTCCTGGGATTGAATCCCCCTAAAAAATGAGGTTGGAAAGATTTGGTAGGCTTTGGATAAGTTAGCATGGTTTGGCATAACTAAACAAAGGCCAAAATTTTCACCTGGGATTAATTACAACAGATGCTCTGAAAGAATAATAACAGGCTTGTTTTATGATTAATAAAAATTATGTGACAAATTTGAGTATCATGCCAACGTTTAAGCATAAACTTGAACTTACATGTTTTCTCAGTGAATATCTCCTAATACTAATTTTAGTGTGTGTGTGTGTGTGTGTGTGTGTGTGTGTGTATAGCTTACATTTTTTCTTTCCATTCTTGTTTTACTAATTTTAATGCTTAGTAGTAACTTATTTCAGTTAGTTTCCAAGCCAACAGTTCTATTTTTTAAGTTTAAGTTTTTCATACATCCATATTTAATTTAAGCTTCACTTCAATTAACAAAAAATATATTTTTTGTATTTATTGACAAAACAACACGAAAATGTAATAAATGTTTTCAAATTAAATTAATACATTAATTTAATTTAAATGATAACATTTTAGGGAAAAAAGAGAAAAAACAGCACAGAGCAGTGGTTTTCAACCTTTTTCACTAAAATGCACCCATTATCCATATCAATACTCAATGTTGCAAAAAATGTTACAAAAAATTATATATATATATATATATATATATATACTGTATATACCTTAGAATTTCTCAATTTTTACAGCTTAGCATTACTAGAAAAAAATACAGTAGTCTTTATAAAAAATGCTCATAGAGTTATAGGATTTTATTGACTGTCATGACTTTTCCAGGTCTGAGTGAATACTTGGATCTCTATAACTCAAACACTCAGATCATTTGACCACGAACGAATTTGACGAGAAATGAGTTCAGATGGAGACGCTTGACTTTTGACCTTATTGTTTATATCACATATGCAGGAGACTAAAAGGATTAGTTCACCTATACAATCAGCACCCTTGTGTCTTTCCAAACCTGAATTACTTTCTTTCTTCCACGGAACACAAATGAAGAAGTTCTTATTCACTCTTATCTACACCGTCACAATGAATGAGGACAGAAGCTCTTTAGGACCATAACAGTATTATAAATCCAGTCCACACGACTTGGTCTCTAGCTTTGAACGTCATTCTTTAAGTCTAAAAGCTTCAGTCACCATTCACTGTAACTGCATGGTCAAGAGAGACCACAGACTGAGCGCCACAATGCATCTTTCACAGTCACACTTTCACCTCACAACAAGGCTAAACACGTCACTGTCCTTGTATTCAAATGGCGAAACCAACTTTCACTACATGTCCGAACAGCGGGATCCCTCTGAAGACTCGCCTTATCAAACAATACTTTGAACATACAACATAGAACAAACCTGTGTTGACTTTATTTGTATTAACTTAATACGTCATGCCTCTCTTTTCTTGAAAAGAGCTGCATGCTTGCAATTTGAATCACACTTCTTGTTAAAGCTCTGGATTATAGAGCATCTCTGAATGCATCTTCATGTACACATAAGAGTCTTGGAGTCTAATCTTTAGAAGGCTTTAAGACGGCATGAAGTGCAGAATGAGAGCCTTTGATTGATGTTTGGAGCAGCCCAGAGACGCAGATAGTATTGTGTGCAATTCTTGAAGAGCCAGAACCACCCTTGAACATTTACAGACTTCAAGTGCACAGACACTTATATACTATTATAGAATTAATTCATGTTTTAAAATAGCTTTATTTTTATATTTTCATTCTTGTTATGTGCTTTGGTCATTTTTATTAGGTATCTCTTTTTTAAAGAAATATCTATTTATCTTAATTTTAATTTTGTACTTTAATTTTTAATTTGCACTTCAATTTTAACTTATTTTATTTAGTTGCCAAGATAATTTTTAAAAGTTTTTTTCATATAATATTTATATTTTATTTCAGCTTAATTTCAATTAACAAAAGCGAATTTCAATAGTTTATATTTAATTAAAAATAAATAAAAACACTGCCTCTCTCTTTCTCTCTCTCTCTCATCCAACCAGCTCTTTACAAAAACAAACAATGCCAGTTAACCTTACAAAATCCCCCTAAGAACATGCTCCACTTCTGAGGTGTTTTGGGCAGGACATTGGTAGGGACACCTCCATTTGCATCAAGGTAAATTATATTTAATAACTTACGGATAAACATATCTATGTAGTAACTAAAGAGTTATCCTAGTTAGCCTATATGTGTTGTAGAGACTTTAGGTACATTGTTCACTTACACCAGTTATCAGCTTGCCTTCATTACAGTCTCTGCAGTTAATTCACAAGAATTAACTTTTAAATAACCAAAAATATTTGAACTCTGAATGCTGCGTCTGTCCAATCAGAAGCGAGGATCCTAGTAGGCCTAATCGCAGGACTTGTTAGAACTTTTATTTTGGAGTAACATCCGAACTTTTAATTTGTAGTGACGCAGAGCGGAAACGGAGAACTTGTGAAGTTGTTGTGTTTGTTTTGGTGCACGCATTCTGCTGAAGTCAAATCTGTGACAACGGTGGGGTAAAACGACTCGTCGTTTGTGAATCATGGAATCGTCCACGAGAGGTAATATTTACGATTGCTTTCTTTGTTTTCCACCTTTTCTCTTCGCAGCACGTCATGTTTGTTGTGAGTAGATTGAATATATGTTTTTAAACGGACACAAACGCCAGTCAGTGCTGCAGTCAAAGCTCGCATTTAACTCCGATCTTGTGCGTTTAGTCTGTGTGTTTTATGCGATTTAAATGGCTTATTCGCTGTCTAATGTGTCTTTTATATAGGAAGGGCCAAACGCAGGCACTTGGGGCCCTCAGAATGTAGTGATCTGCTGCAAAGCAACCCAGGGAACCAGTCTCTCACACAGCCTTTTAATGCTAACCTCAGCAACACGGATCCAAACCGAGGACTTCAGCCCAGGACACCCACCAAAAGAAGTAGACAAGGTGTTGTTTTATTTGTCAGTGCGTTTTGCAGCTTTCTGCACAATACAGCTCTCACTTTGCACTTTAACACCTTTTAATTTCGCTGTTAAGCTTCAGGTGGTGTGGGACAACAGAAAGGCATCACCGATTTCTTCTCTGTCACTGGAGTCATAAGCACCAGCCCCCAAAAAGGAACCAAAACTCCAGTGAAGGAGGAGAACGAAGAACAGGAACCGATCGGGCATCTTATCCCAAAAGAAGAAAATGTAGAAGAGGATAAGATGGAGGACTATATGGAAGGAATCACTGAGGATATGTTCGACGAAGACTTTGAGGTTGGAACTACGTCTGTTAAAAAAAAAGAAGAAGAATTGTTGGAAGTTACGGTGAGAAAACAGGAGGATGAGGAGGACCTGGTCGAAGCCCTCCCTGATGCCCACTACGGGCTGCTGGGAGTGCAGGAAGGCCAGGAGGTGCCCAAGGGCCATGTCCAGGATCTGCCTGAGGAGGTCCTGAGGGAAGTGTTCGCACACCTCCCAGCAGATGATCTCTATCGAAACATCAGCCTGGTGTGCCATCCCTGGAGGGCCGTCGTCATGGACCCCCAGGTGTGATGTTGATGCCTTTCAAACATTACAGTGAGATGATTGTGAGTTAATAATAGCATTGAATTTTGTGTAAACTTTGTGTAGGTATTACTTAAAGGGGATTTATTTAGATGTGTTGGTGGCAGTATTTTATGACATCTCATGGTTTCTTCCCTAGTTTCTACCTTGGAAGAAGTTGTACTGCAGATACCGTAAGCGGCAAAATGAGGCACTGAAGGAGGTGAAGTCTATCCTGGATGATAATCAAATTAACAAAAAGGATGACCTGTGTCTTCTCAATATGGTGAGGTAAGAATACAAAATGCTCATTCAGTAAAGCAACCACAGGACTTATTATTTGCGCCTTTGAAGCACAACAAAAAGTGATTCCCAACCCCCACTTTCACACCTATGGGTCATTTTGAAGTCTACATCAGAGCTGCTGATAGAGGTCAAACCTATTAGGTGACAGTTGTACAACAGGGGGTCAACTGTAGCTTAATGATCTGCTGATTGGTCAGTTTAGAGTCAACAAAGCACATCACTAACAAGACTGATCACATAAATATTGGCAAAGTACTAATAGAGCCAAATTACACTATACAGAAAATTAAATAAGGTGAATAGATATAGAAAATGGTTGGGAAAATAAAATGAGAGGGCAACATAAAAATCAAAAGAATACAGTAAGAATGAATTCAAATGCAAAATATGGTAAATACAAAATATAATCAAACGTCAGAGTAAAAAATTGCTAATTTAATAAAATGTATATTATTGTGTGTTGAAAATCTCATTGGTTTTTTAGGTACATGTCTCAGTTCAAACACAGCAAAAGGGTGAATGTGAAGGACGTGTTGGCGTGTGTGAAAGGACATCAGCTCTACGCTCATGCTGAAGCCTGCATCAAAGACAGAATGCCAGACATGGTGGATGATGAGGTAATGAAATCTCACAGTTAACAATTTCTGCAACTACTAGTTTAGTGCCCTTGTTTATGTTGGAACAACATGCGTATCTTGTATATACGCATTATAATGTGCATCCAATTATCGACATGTATTACAGGGTCCAAACCCTTGGTCTGCCATGGCCCTGATGTTGATTTTGGCTGACGAAGTGAAAGATGTCTTGGACCTGGTAGCTCTGTTGCGGAAGTCTGGGTGTCTGCTGACAGCAGGAGGAATCTCGGAGTACCTGTGGGCTGTGGCTACTTTGCTCCTGGCCATGAGAAAGAATAATATTAACATAAGCAACAGGTGAGAGACCAGTTTAAAGTGCTTTTTCTATAAGCGCCTGCAACCTCTGCACTACAATCAGATGTTTATTTATAGCAGTTGAGGAGTTAAACAACATGATTTTCCGGTCATGTGACTAGCCAAATAAATGCAAAAACTTAGTACAGAATGTTCTGTATTTTGCAGATTGATTTAAATGATTCTTCACTTTTTAAACCTTTATTTAGGTGGCATTACAATATCTTCTATGTGCTGCACTTAATGGAGAACGCTCCTCCTCCTGCGGGCTTGCAAGACAACAGGTGGGAATCAAATTTTGATATTGTATTTGTGTATTATTTACAGTTCAAAAGTTTTGGGTCAGTACTTTTTTTTGTTGTAATTTTACAAAATATTTGTATTTCGAATAAATGCTGTTCTGTTGCACTTTTTGAACTGCTGAAAAATCAGCATTACTATCAAGGAATACATTTCATATTAAAATAGAAAATAGTTGTTTCAAATTGAAATCATACTTCACAATAGTACTGTTTTTACTATATTTTTGATCAAATAAATGCAGCCTTGGTGAGCATAAGAAGCACATTTCTAAAGTATTACTGACCCCAAACTTTTGAACAGAAGTGTATACATTAATTACAAATAATATATGTTATAATTGTGAAATAATTTATAATATTTGACACAATTATAATGATCATCACCGTCTTCATTCTCAGGCAGCAAATCACTCACGAGCAACAGCAGATACTCAACCACGACATCCAGAATCATCACGTTGTTAAAATAATGGCTTTTGCAGGTGAGGAAAAATCATTCAATTATTTCGCAGCTGAAAGTGTTTGAGTTGCATGTAATGCCATTCTTATTTTTTTGCAGGCACTGGAAAGACGACCACACTCGTGAAGTATGCTCAGCAAAGGTCACATATGCGCTTCCTCTACCTGGCCTTCAACAAATCTGTGGCAATGCAAGCTCAGCGCTCATTTCCACACAACGTTGAATGCAGTACCGTCCATTCAATGGCCTTCAGAGCTGTGGGAGTGAGGTCAGTTTAGACTGTATTTGTGGGCCAGTCGGCAGAGAAACATTCACCATGCAATCAATCACCTATTTTAAAGAATGAATAATGTTCTCAGTGAGCTATAACCAGAATCATTTATGTGTCTTTTCTGCTATACAGGTATAAAAACATGAGGAAACTGTCCAATAATTTGCAAGTGTTTGATGTGGCGTGGATCTTGCCTAAAGGACACGGGGGATTCGTCAATGCTAAAGTGGTGACGCAAACCTTCCACAATTTCTGCGCATCCGTAGACCAGCACGTTGGTCCACAACATGTTCCATATAAGTACAAGAACACGCACGGACAGCCAGAATACCCAGACGACCACCAAAAAATGGTAACTGGAAGACACACGGTTATATCAGTTTACATCCGTGGATGTAGTTTGTGCCTGTGGAAATGTTGTATTAAGTGTTACCAAATTGTAAAACACATATCACGATCTATTTGGGTCTTTGCACTCCTTTGTCAACGCAATTTTGTGACACAAAAACACATTAATAAATCTCTTTCTCTCCAGACATTTGCTGGTCTCGCACAAAAGTTATGGGACCAAATGGTAGAGCTGAAGTCCAGAAAAGAGAGAGTGTACAACATGACCCATGATGGTAATCACCAAAATCTGGATTTATCAGATATTTAAATGCATGAGCTTCAGCTAATTTCCTTTCACGCTCAGTCACAATAGCAAGTCCCATAAACAAACCGAAAATCTGCTTTCATATTTTTCTTAGATGTTTTATCTAAGTTTCATGTTGTTTTTCCTTTGATTGTTGTAAACAGGATACCTCAAACTCTGGCAGCTGTCGAGACCACAGCTAGACCGATATGATGCCATATTTATTGACGAAGCTCAAGACTGCACACCAGGTTAAAATAAATCACCTTTCGTTTTCTCTAATGTGTTGTTGACTGTAATGTGGTCTTATTTTGTATTCTGTTTGTGGTCTTTGATTTTCCAGTCATTATGGGCATTATGCTCTCTCAGAACTGTGGGAAAATCCTGGTTGGAGATCCGCATCAACAGATTTACACTTTCAGAGGAGCGGTTAATGCTTTGCGTGCTGTTGCTCACACACACATCTACTATCTCACACAGGTACGAACAAAAACACAGGAAAAGGAAATCACAGATAATATTTGTAGAGGAAGTGTGATAAATGGTAAATATTTTCTAATATCACCACTCATATTTTTCACAGAGCTTCAGGTTTGGATCAGAAATTGCATACGTTGGTGCTGCAGTATTGGACAGTTGTAAAAAAGTGAAGCAGATATTGGTTGGTGGGCATCAGGATGGTAAGTTTAAGAAATTATATTTGGGGCAATTTTGATTTGTTATATTTTTTGCTAATATTAATAGTGGTAAATTCTCAGATATTTTTAGTACTTTTTTAAAAAATTGAAGTATGACCCTGGCAATAATAAAAATGCTATGTTTTCAGGGAGTGTACGAGGGGAGGACACACAAACACTGCAACAACTGAAGCTGGGACAGAGGCTGCCAGAAGGGAGCGTGGCCATTCTGAGCCGCTGTAATGTCACTGTTTTCAGCGAGGCTGTCCGACTCACAGACGTCAACCCCAACTGCAAGATCTACATTGTGGGAGTGAGTGCATTAAACATTTGTCCTACCTGGTAATGAATTATCTTAATGTGTATTTTAAACCTCAGATATAATCTGAATGTCTGATTCTGTTGTTTTGTGCCGTTTTTCAGTCAGAAAAAGTTGCATAAAACATGGTCAGTGCTTCTTTAAAAAATGGCCAACCTCTGATTTCAGGGTGTTGAGAACTTTGGACTGGACAAAATTATGGATCTCTGGGTCCTGATGCAGCCAGAGGACAAACGCAAGAATGGTGAGTCACTTCAGCTTGAACGTTTTATAACCTTAGTCTCAATGTTTTACAAAATATTCTAATTGGATTGCTCACAATGGTTTCTGTGTTGCATGGTTTCTGTAGTGTTTGTTTCTTATCTGTAAAGCTATTTCAGATTATTCAGATTATTAATACCTTGTTGGATCTTTGAAACTGATGGTTGTTAAATAGTTTTTTAAAAAGTTTGCTTTGTTTGGATTTGTTTCGCTACTTTAGAGAGCCTTGCGATCAAGGATTACTTCATCCGAAGTTTCTGCAAAGATAAGATGGGCGGATTCAGAGGTCTGAAGGGATACGCCATGGCCTCGGAAGACCGAGAGCTGGAGGCCAAGCTAGCCGTGGTGGAAAAATACAACAAACGCATTCCAGAGCTGGTCAAACGGATCTATGATCGTGCCCAGAAAAGCGCAGTGTGCGCAGGTGAGTGAGACAGAAATAAAGAGATAGAAGTCAAATAAAGTACTGTTTTTGAGAAATACACAATGATGGCATGCAGTAAAATCACTGTATGCATACAGCCCTCATAAACAAGCTGAATACCTTTATGTCTCTGATTGTGACAGATTTTATCCTTGGTACGGTGCATAAGGCAAAAGGCCTGGAGTTTGACACAGTGGTTGTGACGGATGACTTTATGAAAGTACCGTGTGCACGACACAACCTGCAGAGTGTGGGCGGTTTCAATGCAGGTTTGTGGCATTTCTTTAGGAATGTATGTTTTCTTGAATACTCTGTGTGTGTATATGTATGTGTGTATATATATATATATATATATATATACATATACATATACATATACATATATACACACACACACTTGCACATAATGAAATAAAGCCCAGCTCTTACCAGTTATACAGTCTCTGTATCTGAGCGTCAAAGTCCATCTGGGCTTTAGCCAAGTGATCGTCTGCACATCTGGTAGATCAAAGTGTCCATTAAGAGTGTACATTTCTGATGATCTGAAATCTTTGGACACTTTCTGTGGGTTCAACTGCATGTGCCATCAGTTTTAACCAGTCAATAAGATATTCTGTAAAAAAATAGGCATCAAAAATGAAATATCCTGACTCACGTGCACTTATTTATTAATATAAATTCTGAAATGGATCTTTTAAGAAATAGTGTATATAAGTAGTATGTTAGAGATCCTGTACATTCTCAGGAAAAAAGGTACAAAAGCAGTCACTGGGGAGGTACATTTTTGTATCTTATTTACCCCTAAAGGGTGCATATTTGCACCTTAAAGATGCACGTTAGTATCTAAACTTGTACATATTAGTACCATATGAAAAGTTACTACCCCCTTTTTATTTTTTTTGTTGAGAATGTATAGTCTCTGTTGCAATCAGAATCTTATGCATATGACTAATTTTTACTCTCTGGCTGCAGCGAACGTCCCAGATGACGAGTGGAACCTGTTATACGTGGCGATCACACGAGCCAAAAGATTGCTGTACATCACCAGGACCATCAGCAACATCCTCACATTCACTGGGGTGAGTTATTGCTCTCTGTCTATGCATTTCAGTTTCATTCTGATCTTTATAATCCAAAGAATATCCAGAAATCATGACATTGAAGCATTCTTATTATTCCTGCCTCTTCATCTTTCACAGGAGTACTTCCTGCGGTCAGAGCTGACCAGCACTTTGCTGAGTAAAGACCCATCTCTCATCTGCTCCATTGAAGGCTGTGAGAACCACATCACCACAGACTCCGTCCTCAGCATGAGCAAAATCCCCGTCAAATATGTCAGTGTCTTTTTGCACCTTTGTTTATCTGTCTTTTAAAGGAATATTTCACCCAAAAATGAAAATTTGCTGAAAATCTACTCCCCCTCAGACCATCCAAGATATAGATGAGTTTTCTTTGTCAAGACAGATATGTAGAAATTTAGGATTACATCACCTGTTCACCAATGGATCCTCTGCAGTGAATGGGTGCCGTCAGATTGAGAGTCCAAAAAGCTGATAAAAACATCACAATGATCCACAAGTAATGCAAATGACTGCAGTCCATCAGTTAGTGTCTTGTTAAGTGAAAAGCTGTGTGTTTGTAAGAAACAAATCCATCATTAAGTCGAGTCCATCCTCTGTTGTCCTCTCACATCAAAACATCCACCAACATATTTGTTTAGAACTGCTTTAGACCGTTTTCACTTGTAAATGGTGCTTGATCCATGCATATTTCTCTCCTGATTCAGGCTTTTTTTCTGGAGAATGCAATATTATACATAGAGGACTCATATTTTAGCCAGAATCAATGGTTTGAAGTTAAAAAAAAAAATGTCTTGAAGAATTTTGCAAACATGCAGCTTTTCCCTTCAAAAGACGTTAATTGATTGACTGGAGTTGTGTGGATTACTTGTGGATTATTGTGATGTTTTTATCAGCTGTTTATACTCTTATTCTGATGGCACCCATTCACTGCAGAGGATCCAT